GAGAAAGGAATAAGCTCCGAAAAATCTGGAATAAGACTTGGAACCCAGCCCACAAAAAGAGCTAAATAAGCTAAATCGAGTTATTAAAGAGAATATTTACAAATTCAGACAAGAAAAATGGAAGGAAAAATACTCAGTTTGAACGAACCTAACGGGGACTTTTGGTCCTTCGTTAAGAGCCTCAAAAATAGTTCCACTACGAATAAGCCTATTTATAGCAATAATTGTACTGCATTGACCAACAAAGACAAGGCGGAAATTCTCGCTGATCATCTTGAACAGCAATTTAAACCAAATGACTTACACTGTGACTATAGCTTCATTTATGACGTTCGCTACTTTGTAAAAGACTGGATAAATGCGCCTAGTGTCAGAAACAGGACTCAGTTCACCACCCCAGCAGAAGTGCAGGATATTATCAAGACTCTGAAGAAACGAAAAGCGCCTGGGCATGACATTATCTCGAATATGGCCATTAAGAATCTTCCCCGCAATATTATCACTCATTTTATAAGCATCATCAACGCCAGTTTAGAAAATTCTTACTTCCCGCGTGCTTGGAAGATTGTCAAGATCATTCTACTACCAAAACCAGGAAAAGAAATAACCAGACCGGAGGGCTACCGCCCAATTAGCTTGCTCTCGGGCCTCGGAAAGATTTATGAGAAAATTATCTATGCTCGCTTGCAACCCTACTTTAACAGACTACCTTTGGAACAATTTGGTTTCAGAAAAGGCCTATCCACAACCAAACAATTAGTTAGACTCACCGAGTTTATTGGCAGCGCCTTAAATAACAGGGAAAGTGTCGCCTTACTCATGATGGACGTGGCAAAAGCCTTCGACCGCGTCTTGCATGAGGGGCTCATTTATAAGCTGATCCAGCTAAATTTTGACCGTGAACTAATTCTGCTAATTAATTCTTTTATTGTTAACAGAAGATTTTATGTCTCAATGGGTCAGGACACCTCTAGCGTCAGAAAAAAATGTGCGCCGGTGTAGCGCAGGGGTCCATTTTAGGACATATTTTGTATCTTTACTACGTGATGGACTTCCCTAAATTATAGAATGACCACAACAGCTTCCTTGGATGCTATGCAGATGACACTGCGTTAGCGATTAAATCTATCCGTCCAACGCACGCTATTCAAAAGCAGCAGAACTTCATACCTAACATTGAAGACTGGTGCATCAAATGGCGCGTCGCAATAAATGCTCAAAAGTCACAATTAATGATTATCAGGAGAAGGCAAAGAAAAACTATTAATGCTAATCTCAGTCTTTTTAATGAGACGATTCCACTTGTAAAGAAGGCAACTTATTTAGGGGTTGTCATCAATCATAAGTTCACTTGGTCGGACCATATTGACAAGGTCAGACGTAAGACTGTATATTATTCACCAATTAAATCCACTGCTAAGTTCAAGCTCGAAACTCAATCTGGTCAAAAAGAGGCACATTTACACTGCTGTTATCAGACCGGTGCTCTGTTACGCCTCACCGGCATGGGCCTCGGCCTCCAACTAGAGATTGCAAAATTACAGGTCACCCAAAATAAGTACCTACGCCGGATTACAAACGCCCACTACTTTGTTAGCAACGATACCTTGCATAAAGTTTTAAAAATTGAGTATATGGATGACTACCTGCAGATTTCAAACGGAAAATTCTTTGCTAAAGCACGTGAATGCATACATCTAAGCTCTTTAAATATTTTTAATTATGAAATTCTGCAAGAAGACTACGATATTCACCCCCCACCTCACCCGAGATTCTAATTTCCCCACCTAAATACTGCACTGTATATAGTATTGATAGTGTATATAGCTTCAACTTCATTACTAGCATTTTATTTTATTTTGTTTCATTACTCGGCATTTTGTGTATTCTCTCTACTTTCGCATGTTATAGATTCAACTTCATTACTAGCATTTTATTTTGTTTAATTTATTCGGCATTATATTTTGTGTATTCCCTCTACTTTCACATGTTATTCTTCATGCAGTATTAAGTTCACAGCTCGCACTATTTTGCTTTTCCATTTGCTTCACTGGCCTCGTTACTGTCGGCCACACACCTTACCACCCCCTTAGTCCTCCTCCATTGGGATACCATGGTCATTTAGCATTCACGTTATGTGCCATAAAGGCAAAATTCCTGTTACTGAGCCGGACACGTTGCACTGCCACGCAATATCTTGGCATAAAATGCTCGGATCGGATCAAATCGATATCCCGTGAAAACTCTTGCGAAGCAGAATTTGTTCGTACGATTTGTTTTATCACGGTTTTTACTTGGCCTGGAGGAAATGAAACGAAATATTCTGCTTTAATTGGCAGTTAGCAAAATTTTGTTGGTTGCGCGGTTCTTTTGGAGAGACTGGTCACGTGTTTCCCTATTGTATAGTATACGTCGGCTTGTGGATTAGTAATGTATAAAGAAGGATACAAGCGTTGGAAAAAATAAAATAATGGCGATGATTTTTAGATAGTGATTATGAAGAGGTGGGAAAAAAATTAAAAAAAAATCAAATCCAAGGAGACAGTGTACTCTGTGCTCTCGTGAAAGAGATTCCATCGGTAAGCCAGTTAGAAAAGAGACCAGATATCAGTGTAGCATGTCAGGTATCATTTTGTGTTGTCCCTTATTTCAAAAACTATCATACAAACACTAATAAACTTTTTTTCATTTGCCCGAGATAACTCGGGATAGTAAACTAATATTAAAACTAAATGCTTTTACAAATTTTAAAAAATTAAAAATTTAAAACATACATATTTTAATTTGTTTCGTTTAGTTGTATTTAAAAATAAAATTTTAAAAAATTTGTAAGGGAAGCGGTTAAGAGGAACGATCATTAAAAGAGCACATAGGATTTTATTGCGCTTCTTTCGCTTGGCGACTTTCGTAGTGATTTTTGGAGGGAAGTTAACATTTGCTGAAATTAAAAAACAAACACTGAAAATGAGTGAATTTGGAATTCAGTTATTTCAGTAATCACGACATGAATATGTTAGACTTCTTACATTCTTTTTTATCATATTCTATACAAAATGTACAATTCAATATCTGAACTGTAAAGTTTTTTATGGAATCAAATGATTTGCTTGTAGACTAATTTTGTGCATGGCTGTAGTTAAAGTTTGTGGTAACATGAAGCTGCCTTTTACAAATGGTTGTATTTTATGAAAACAAAAATATGTTTCATTTATATTGTGGGTTTCAAATTCTTTGCTACAATGAATTATCGTAAAAGCATGTAAAAGGTACAAATACTTAAACATATAAAAATATTAATATTATTGATTTATATATTTAAATCAAAATTAATAGATAAATTAAAATCTGAGTTAGAAACAGACTGCTGTGGTTTAGAAAATAAAAGACTGCACTTCAATTGAAATTGTGCAGTATCATAACTACATAAACTAAGTTATTCTTAAATAACTGCAATCATTTTAAAAATAAGTGAATTTTAATGCTATGCTGAGCTTCTGAAACATATTTCTAATGACACAGGCAACTAATGCATATGAATTTTAAACTGTGGTTTTACAATTATAACGAAAAAATATGTAAAAGCACTCATGTAGCTCTTTCTTATCTTGTTCAAAATTAAAACTCAATCATATTTTGTGCCAAAGCTGAAACTGGAAAACAAAATTAAATTGAAATATTAAATTTCAATAATGAATTTTTATATGATTCATCATTTTCACTTAAGTAGGGAGATCATATTCAACAACATAGCTTGTGAAAATTTCACAGATAAAATTTTACATAGATATGAAGGATAAACATGAACCATACAAAATTGTGATATTTTCCTTTTAAAAACTGCTTTCCAAATGAAATTTTGCTGAAACTGAAATCATTCTAAATATCTTTATATATCACAAACTATTCTGATTTCCAGAAAAAAATATTTCTTCAATTAATGAGATTTTTTTTTTGCACTGAAAAAATTAAAAATAATACAATTCATGAAAGTAATCTGAGAATCATAAGTTACGTTTTATATTTTTACTTTCACGATTATTGTAAATTTATATGTGCATATTATGTGTTTAAAGCACTTGCAGTTCTGCTAGGAGTTGTATTAAACATGATTGTTGAAGAATCATCATGGCAGTGAATTTAGAAAAATAATGAGAGTAGTGTTTTTGAACTTGGAAGAAAAATATTTAGTTCACGTAACACCAAAATGTTAACTTTTTCTTGTTACTGAACTTTATTAATACATGAATTTCCTGAAGACAACTACATGTCTATTGAAAGCATTCTTTTACTAATCACTGAAATACATAATTTTGAAATAGTAACTAAAATTTAATCGCCATTAACACTGAATCTTTAATTATCTTTTATGTAAACAATAATTATAGTTATTGTAATAGAATAAAATAAGTAATAAAAATAATTTCCCTTATTTACAAATTTTGCATTTAAGCCTATGATCAGAGCCCTTTAAGACAATTTGCCATTATTTTGAAGAAATATAGCTAATATAGAGTTATGGTTGAAGTTCTCTGGTACCTAATGAACATAACTTTTCAGCAAATCGTACTCACATGCAGATATTTTCTTATATTTTTATGAGCAGAAAGTGCAAAAAAATTTACTATACTAAAGACCTAGATGAAAATGTGGATTTTTTTTTAAAAAACTTGTAACATAAGCTTTCACCGTACTAATTTGTTAGATATAATGAAATTTAGAAAATTTTCTTTCAGAAACTATAAAGACATATGGCTTAAAATGAAACTTCTGAGCTAACATGGTTCCTAATTTTAAAATTAGGCTATTAATTACTAATTATAATTAAAAATTATACAGTGAAATGTATTGTATAGCTTATACTGTAAAACTTTTGTCAGTACTCCATATAACAAGTACAAAAATTCAATGTAACTGATAAGATGACTTAATTTAAGAGATAATAGCACTTTGTGACATCCTGAAAAGAAATATGTAATAGTATATTAAAAGAATTAGACAGCTCAGTTTATGAATATGTACATTTATTGCTTGGAACAATCCTAATGCAGCATAAAACAATACAATACAAAAAAGCAACTAAGTGATTTTAATCTTCCATTTTTTTTGTCAAATAAAGTATACTGCATTTCTTTAAGAAAATACTATAGTAATTTTATGACAAACCCAACCTTACATTTCAGCATTACTTTTACAAAAAGTTTACAGTACTGGAATATTTTTAGAATGCTTATAAATTTATTGAATTTATAGAGAATACACAAATTCATTTCTCTATATGTTACATCAGAACTTAAGACACAATTCCAATTTTAAAATAATTTGCATTAAAATATATAACTAGATTTATTATTCACCAAAGCTAATGATGCATGCATGTTTGAAAATACTTCTACCAAACAGCTTATGTCAGTTATTTGAAAAACAAAATTTAAAAAGCTGTGCTAAAATAGATAATAAGATGACATAAGCACATAAGCTGCACTCAATCAATGGGGAAGGATTTTTTACACACAATATCCCCAAACACAGATGACAGTTGTCAACATATTTAGTGAAACATTGAAAATGAAAAATTAGCAAAAATCGATCACATTTTTAAAAATTACACAACTGGAAACTACCATTTTCTGCATCACCGGTAATAATTTTTAACAAGCACAAAAGCAGGGTGGGTAAATATATGTATTGTCCAGCATAAATGCACAATCAGCCGAGATTCATCATTCACAAATATATATATATATATGTATGTATATATATATAATATGTATATCAGTTTTTATGTACATGTCATTTTTGTAATGACAGAAATGGCACAGCCAATCCTAACATGTGTAGCTCATATCTTCAAATGGCACAATTCTGAGAGCACGATGCTGTAACAATATTCTTAGCTTCACAGCACTTTTAATTTTTGAAGATATTTTGAAAATGTTAATGTTTAGTATAATTTACACAGAATATAGAAAGAGTAAATAAGGTTTAAAAAATAAATGATAATTTCTATTTCATTTTTAAAACATGGATACATTATAAAGCCAAAAAAAAAATACTACTCAACTGAGAAAAGGTATATTAATAAATTTAATTCTTTAAAAGTTCTATGCAGCCTTGAAGATTTTTCACAGCATCATACATAAATACATCATCACTATTGTTTGGCTGGCCTGATTACAGCAGACATTGCCGCCAAGCAATAGGAGATTCATAATTTGGATTCCATAATCATCCAATACTCATCTATCACTTCAGTTTAAAAGCTAAACAAAAAAGAACTAATTTTACGAGTTGGCACTTTTCCAAAGATGAGCTACGACACTAAGTGCAGCCAACTGTTCTTCACCTAAATTGATTTTCTCATCTAATTCACGATTATCAACAATAAGTTTAGTTTTCATCTTTATAAAACGATCATAATTAGCATATTCATCATCTGATAAATATCGATGAAGGAATGTAGAAACTTGGCTGCTACGTCTGTCAATACTTTCTTTTAATCTGCGGGCATCTTCATGTTGCTCTAGCAGTTTATCTCTTTTAGCTTCCAAAATTCTCTAAATTGAAGGAAAAAGTGATGTGTTTAGTTACATTATTAATAACACCTGAATATAACTTTTTAAATAAACAATACTGGAAATTAAGAAGTTACATGTATTTTTATAACAAAAATGATACCATTACTGGCTCATTGGAATATTAATAAGATTTTACTTAATGTTTCACAAAAAAAACTTAACCATGAGGATATTAAATTATCAATTAACAAAGTGAAACTCTGATATACACTTATGAACTAGAGAATATCAAATCAGTTCTAAAATAGATTAGAGAATTTAACTATGTAAATTACATAGCTTGATGAATTTTTGTTTTCTGCACATGCTTTTTATATTAGAAATTTGCGAAAATTTAATACTTTAAATAATGCTTCAGAATGCTGCAATATGCAAGCCCAAAGAATTAGAGAAATAATCTCTTTCCAGACAACCAACACTCACCTTTCAAGTTTCGAATTATTCAAACAATTATAAAGAAATATACCAAAAAATATAAGAAACCTACTGCAGATCCAAAATTTCTAACACTACAGATATTAAACAGTTTAAAATAACACTATCTCTCATTCCCAATGGTAAAACATTGGATGGATGCTAGATTTAACCTGCATCTGAACTTTATTCTAGTTACAGGAAAACAAACATGCCATTTCAGCATGCCTATAAGCTGCATATTCTTAATTTAGTTTTACATGTGGTGTGATGTATAATACATCCACCTCAATGATTTAAACACATATAAAAAGGTTCAGTTTGTTACTTTCTTATATCGGTCTCGTAAATTTACCACATGCCCAACTTTAAATTCAATTGTGAGAGTTCTTTATTTCAAACACAATTATGCTGACTAATGTGAAAGGATATATGTAAGGAAATTAGAATGATTTATTGCACCGATGTTGGTGTTTAAATATCCTGACACACTTGAAGGAGTGAACATAAAAAACAGCAGCCAACCAGATAAGCACATATGTATTACACAAATCATATTTATGTCCTTGTCCTGAATAAGAGTGGATGTAATTGAGCTATTTAAGATCTGTAGTTTCTCCTGCAAGCGAGAACAATACTGCAGCCAGTAATGAAATTAAGAAGCAAGATTATAAATAATGCAGTTTAAAAAACTCATTAAATTTGATATTATTTAGAAGCAGGAGATAAAGATACATTAATGCTTTCTGGGTTGACAAGACATTTATCTGAAAATTGCTCAGAGCATTACGATTACTGTTTAATTTTGGGGCATTTAAGCTCACTGCAAAGTTGTTTCTTAGAATTTATTAAAAGATTTAAGTTTGCACTTAGTTTTCTGTGTTAGTCTTATATTTTAATAGCAGATATCTATTTATGAAGGCCAAGTCTAACAAAATTTCATAGTCATAATGAAATGATAACAGTTTTCTAGAAAGAACAATTCAGATATAATGCATATATATATATACTTTCCAGAAAGAACAATTCAGATATAATGCATATATATATATATACTTTCTACAAAGAAAATATTCTACTATTGAAACATCTTTATTAACTCTTAACTTCTGTGTATGTGTTAGAATAAACTGTTATTAAATGGTGCAAAGAAAAGGTAAGTAAACACACTATTGTCAAGAATTTCTCAAAATTGAAAATCAATAGCATGATCATAAAAGATAAACAACATACTTTATACTAAAATAATAAACAAACTGAAATATAGTGTGATGCTATATGTAAGGGGGAGGAAGTCATGTAAAAATGCCCTATCAAAGCTCTATCAGAAATACTTGGAAAACACTAAAATTTTTTGGAGGAAAGGGGAAGAAGTGTATTGAAGTTTGAAATACTGAATATTGTGAATTTACAAAAGGTAAATACAGACATTACTTAAAAAATGTCTCAATTATATAATCATTGTATATGAAATTGCAATAAGATCTAAAAACATTTGAAAAAAGGAGAAAGCTGGTGATTAAATATATGAAAATATGAAAGCTTGTGTGTGGGAGAGAAAATCCCCAAACAAGCATAGAGTTAGTCCTTTCCATTTTTCAAAACCTTATAAAAATATTACTGCAAACATTCATTTTCTTCACCATCAGCAAATATATCAATTAGCTTTCAATTAATTATGAAGATTAAAAGCAATCTCATTAATTTATAAATCTTAAAACATTAAATAGAAAGCATACAAATTCCCCAAAGAGGAAGGATAGAAGAATAGCAATTTCATGATTCAGAAGAGATTTTCAATTAGTAAACAGTCTGATAAATTACAGTTATGCTAAGATCCATTTTAAAAGCAGGATTTAGAATGTATGAATGTTTAAGCATTAAATTTGTATTTTTAGCTGTTGCTATAAAAGTATCTGAAAAATTTCACCAATAATGTAGATGAATAATAATATTAAATGTGAAAGACATTTAAATAAGACTTCAGTATTTTTAAATACCAATGCACGTTAAAAACGAATATGACTGAAAGATCAGCAATGAATTAAAGATTTATTCTCAAATTTATATACATATTATCTAAGTTGCCAGTTAAAAAAAAAACACCGACAGTTTTTATTAATATTATTTTATAAAGTATACAGACTAAGATAAATTGAGTTTTAATAACTATCAACATAGGATAAAAAGTACATGCTACAGATCCTTACACATTTAAGTAACAAAGGTTTATGAACTTAAGAGGAAAAAACAGCTTTAAGGTATGTCTCCCAATGAATGAAAGAACCTTTTGAGAGCTTTACATAGATAAAAATGCTATTCACATTTAAACATACAATTAAATGCAAGACTATGTTTTAATACATATTAGTTACTTAATGATGTTGATGCACATCTACACTTTGGTTAGCATACATCTAAATCCAGTAATAAGTCATTAACACAGCAAGTATAATATACATGATATTTAAAAAAATACTGAAAAACAATCAGATTAGTAAAATTACAAGAAATATGCATGTTTTTAAGTCTATAAATAGTGAAAAATTAAAATCAAATACAATTATATATAAAAAATTTTCATTGATTAATATTAGGAATGATTAGGTAATATTCAAGACTCACCTTTTCATCAGAACTGCTGTCCTTTGGCATGCTTTTCAAAATATTTTCTGCTCGAGCCAGTCGTCCAGAAAGGGAAAGCAATAGGTTAACTATTTTCTCCATTTCTTCAACATGAAGGGAATATTTTTCGAGCTCATTTGGTTTGGCTAATGCCTGCAAACGATTAGCAATATCCTCACCTAGTAATTCATTTTGAAGCATTTCAGCTCGAACATTTGTTTGCTCACTTCTAAGAGTTTCAACTTTCTTTGAAATGCTTAAGATTAATTGTTCCTAAAATAAGAAAATTAAATTGTAAAAATTTAAAAATTCAAATTTTTGTAATCTTGTGTACAGAGTTTACAACAATTTAATAAGTATGACATAAAAGCTTTTTTAATTTTACATACAGTGGTATCTGGACTTACAAACCCCTTAACATGAGAACTTTGAGAGAAACTTTTTTTTTTTTACAGCCCACACTGGTCTCTGGATATGAACTTATTTATATAACATTTTGGCCTTTAGATTTGAAATTATTTTTGGAATATGAGTTGTTACAATATTTTTAACTTTGCAATAGATAGTTTTTGATATTATAATGCGGATCTGTAAAATATTTTTTGTAAGTTCCCTGAAAATGTATATGTAGGCTGTAGTTAACGTGCTAAAGACTGCTCAATCTAGATAATATTTAAAGACTTATAGAAGAACTAAATAAACGACAATTTTTGGTTACTAATTTTCAATTCTGAAAATGCCAAAGCCTGAGAATTCACAGTAGGTGATCTAATTACCTGGATTTTGTTGCATGAATTGTGGTATCATGGCCTAACTTCACTTTTATACATCAGTAAATAATATGGCATCCAAACCAAGCTGTTATTTATACAGCCATGAATATTTTCAAGACAATGGTCATTAATAATTTTAGAAAGATGTCAGATAAATGACAGAATCAGGTTTTCAAACCTCCTTCCTCAAAGAGGCTGAGAAGCAACGAATGACAACAAAACTAAAATATTAAATCAGTCACAAGGAAAATGTTTTTAAAACTTCGGTGATTCTTTTTCCACAAGCCATGTAAAACTATCAGAAAATAAACTTCTACAGAAACGTTTAACATTTTTATTTATTTTTTTCTAAACATTCTAAATCTGGGAATGGACTAATTGACTTTTCACAAGATAAAATGAAAATCTGAACTTTGAGATATGATTAGTGGACTGAAGCTAATTAAGTTAATTAAATTATGCTATATACCAAAAAGCTTTCTTTAAAAATGTTTATGTTATCTCAGAAAAGTTCAAATAATTTAGGGCAAACATATGACAAAAAAGAAAAAACAATAAATAAGCAGTTTTACCTTTTTCTTTCTTAGCTCAGATTCATTAGATACATTCTGATTGTCATTCATTTCCAAACAATGATTAATCATTCGCTTAGATTCAAATAAGGAGTTGCTTTTCTCATTATTTGACAGTTTTTCATCCCTGAAATATGTACATACATATAAATAAGTAGGAAAAAAAAAACCATGAAACAAATAAATTAGAAAATTATATCATAATTAAAAGCTTGTTATATTTTTCAATATTTCCACTTTACATACATATTAAGAATAGTGTTAGGGTATTAAACTGACAAAGTATACTGCCCGGATATAAAAAATGCAACACCATGAAAGAGTCTGTAGAATGTGATGTCACAACTGATAAACAGACACAGCATGCATATATAATAAGTGATATTATTTATAGAAAAATAATTTTATACAGTGCTGAACTATACAGGGAATAGTGTTCTAAGGGATGGAAGCCTATATGCTCTGAACCTTTCTTCAAAGTTCATCCTCCAATAACAGCTGGGAGAAAGCAGAAAAATGATGACCAGTCACATCCCAGACATGCTCGAGCAGTGAAAGATCAGGGAACATAGCAGGCTGAAGAAGCAATGGGACATGCTGCAAGGCTTGTTGGCTAATGGATGCTGTGTGCTGTGTCCTGTTGAAAGTACAATTTTGTACCTACTGAAGGCAAGATAGCACAGCTGGCTACAGGATTTCATCAACATATTTTCATGCCATCAACGTGCCTCTGATGCATAACAGGAGTGATTTCATGACTGAAATCATCCCGAGCTATTATACTGCGTTGATGAGCGGTGTGGCATTTAACAATACTACTCAGATTGACTCTATCTCCCCAACGCCTTCAGTCTCTTAACCAGTTTCAATGATCAGACAATCAAAACTGTGACTTTTGCTGATGCCATTGCAGTCTTTTGCATCGACAGTTTGGCATTAATGGCATTCTTTGCAAACGACAGCTTGTGTGAAATTCATTTTCAAACAAACATCAGGAAACTGTTCTCCCAAATATTAGACCATCCAAAACACCCTGCTCATTCCGCAAAATGTCAATAGTAGTTCAGTGCACCACTTCTCTTTATATGCATTAATCTGTGCATTTTGTGGTAAGTTTAGAGGGACCTGGTCTTTCGTGACTATTTACATGTCCTTCATAGATTCATCTAGATCAAATTCTATGCATAGTGGAAACATGTATGTGCGTTGCAGCAGCAATATGATATTAAGACCAACCAGCCATACGTAAGCCTACAATCTGACACCTCATAAAACTGTTTGTGGTGCCATTGTCCAGAACTTTTCATTCATACGTGTCCCCTGAAATTCCAAATTCTGGGCAGCAAGTGTTGGTTCGTCCACCATTTCTTCCCTTTTATTTCACATTATAATCACATGGCCAACTTGCATCTTACATCATCTGCATGACTTGTTCCACTACATATTCCCTGAAATTTGCATTTTTATATGGCCAAATCTTCATGGTGTTGCTTTTTCTATGTCGGGCAGTGTATATTAAAACCGTACAATCTCCAAACAAAAATAGTAGGCATTAGGCTATTAGTTTGAGATAAACATTTAAAATTTTTAAAATAATCCATTATCAGAACTTAATTATTGTAATATATAATTTCAAACAAAATTCTTACTTTTGACCATTTTCAGTTCGTGTGGAGCTTGCTGCAGACTTACATCGACGAGCAGGATAACCACCATTTTCTAGTTCCAAATTTAATAATCCTTCCATATAATCAGACATTGTTTTATGATTAGGAGCAGGAACTGCAATTTAAAATTAAAGTATATCGAAAACTTGAAAACTATGTATATTTTCTACATGATTTAATTTCACATAATACTTATATAAACTTATATAAAATAAACAATGTTTAGAATAATACTATTCAACCACCTACATAAAACGCAAAATTAAAAAATAAGTCTAAACACAGAGGTTACTTAAGAACACTGAAATTATAAGGTAATTAATTTCGATAATTTTGAGAGTTACAATAAATGTTTGCTATGTATTAAATAAATTTACACAGTAATTAAAAATATAGCTTAGTAATGATTTATATATAGTTATGATTTCTAGGCTTTAAGTCACTTAAATCATTGGCTTTGAATCATATCATTATACAGTCTTAGACCTACTCATTTCTTAGACATAAGAGTCATGTTATTTGCACTTGCATTTCATGAAACATGAAATTAAAGTAATGATATTTTGAAAATGCAGCATTGAAAAGAAAATGACACATCAAAAGTAAGAGCCTAAAACAAATCAACAATATTTCTGTAATTTTAAAAGCTCAAGCTCGTCCAGAAAAAATGAATGACAAGAATATAACTACTCAATAATAACGTCAACTACTTTTATTTATAGAATTCCAAAATTAATTCACAAGTGTAAACTAGTATTTCATATCTGTATAGAACACAATACAACTGTTGTCTAGATCTGGCATAACATTTTGCATTTGCATGTTTATGCTCAGTTAATGCAAAACACGTATATTTAATATGAATGCCTTCACATAAATGTAATTTAAAATGATTTAAATAACATGTTTTTTCATTACTAGTAGATATTATAAATCTATTATGCTGTTCTCATCCATAATATTGACATCTATGTAAGACATCTTTAATATAAGTTATTGAAAAGTGACAGCTGTTTAAATGAAACATACAAAGTTCAAATTAAATTAAAATATATTACTAAATAAATAAAGTTTCCAAATCATGTTACTAAGTTTGAACAGCTAAACTGTAAAATTAAAAAGTGAAAAAAAGCAAGTTTTAACAAACTTACCTAGTAAGTTCTTTAGGGTAACATCTCCATAATGGTGAATAAAATCCATTGACAACCGTTCACATTCCAATTCTTCCTTTGTTTTACACAACTTACGATGTAGCCTGGGAGTATCTGTGGTTTGAGTGGCACTATTGATTCTGTTAATTAGATCATTTCCATTTACAACTTTGGAATTTGATTCTTCATTTTTATGCACAGCATTTTGGTTATGATCAACATTTAATGTTGTATCACTTTCACTGTCTACAAAACTGTTATCTTGAAAAATACTATTGTCTAGAGATGACTGATCTTTATTACCACTTTCAGAGTTTGTTAAAGTATTATCAGTGCATTTTGATTTAGATGACTTCACTTTGGTGGAGCACATATTATGCTGAGTATCTGAAAAAGAGTTTTGGACTTCAATATTGATTCTCTCGTGACTAGGTGAACGGTATGGCACTGATTGTAACTGAATATCTTTGCTTTCAGAACACTGTGTGCTAATACTGGTTGATGACTGATTATTTTCTGACACTTCTAAGCTGCCATTTGATATGTTATCTGTTCCATTGTGAGATGTTTCCTCGGCAAGGATGCAATCTTGAGAACTGCTTCGCTGAAGACGATTGTTATGGTTCAGACAATCAGAGTGAAATATAACTGTGGTACCATGCTGTCGTATATTATGTATCTGCTCCCAGCTACTAGGGGAAAATCCAATCTTTCCATCCTGAAAACTTGTACCTAAAGTTGTTAGATCCACTGATGAAGCAGACGTATGAAACGATCGACGATATTTTCCATCAAATCCTTGTCTTCCAAGCTTCCTTTCACTTCTATATGACATGTAGGAATTCTTGGGATATATTCTGTAAAAATAAAAATGTATAATTTTGTTTAGATTATAAATATTCGAAAGACTTTTTAAAAATATTCTACATTACAATTAACTCCTACCCTTGCAATTACTCACTAATTCAAATTTTACTACTAATAAATATGACTTCTAAGGGGGGAGAACATTTAAAAGATCAAGCTTCTTTTTCTTGAACGTTTTCCAAATTTATTACTTAAATTTGAATTTTAAACACACTTTTTTATAATCTCGATGTAGAAATTATCAATATATCTTAAACATCTACTCTCAGAATTAGTTAAAGGCAGAACACTACCTCGTACTCATCTAATACGAATCAAGAGTAATCCCAACAATGGAATTCTATCAAGAAGCACAAGATCCACAATGAATAATAATAAAAAAATTATATATATACAACTACCGCATAAGAACACTAACAGGGTGTAAGTCGCCATTATTTGTTCCAGTATTCCAATACGGCACGGCCACAAAAGGAAAAAATTCCAAAGAGATTATGCCAAGTTCAGATGTGCTGCTACCTTACATTATCAATGAATTGGAAGTGTTTCGTGACAGAATTATATCCTTTGTCTTCCGATGAACAATAGAAACTTGGTAGTTGCTGAAACAACGACCGGCAGATTGTATAGCAGGAAACGCGCGGTTATATTGGTTGTAGCATTTTTTTATTTTTTAAAAAATCGTCCGACGATGAAACCTGTTGAGAGCACGGCTATTACTTTGCTGAATCGTTGAAGCGCTCCAAAGGGTTGCTATAACAAACTTTAATGCGTAACGACATCGTAATCGAATGGATAAAAATGCATCTCAAAACTTACAAGAAGTATCTTATTAGAGGTAAATAAAATGTAATTTTAGTCGACCCATTTAATTTTATGCCACATAATTTTTCAATCTTATATTTGTATTTAAGCTATTCTAAACTGACAGCAATATTATGATGCCACATATCCGATGGAGTTTTCTATTCTTTTTCAATAATCCAAATACTATGAATAAATTTTTTTAATTCAATCATGCTGTAAGAAATTATAACAGGAATTCCTGCTCCCAGCTTGCGCAACAGGAAGGTAAATTAAACATAATACACGGGAAGTTAAAAAAGCTGTATTAAACTCTTAAAAATTAAAATGCTCATTCAACCAAAATGTTAATGTACACTGGTTATTTTGGTCCGAGGTTCAAATCCCTGTGAACGGGTTGGCTGCATGGGCGTTTTTGTGGTTTTCCTCTTGTGTAACGTGAATACGAGCCAGTTTTCCTTAGAAAGTCCTCCACAAAGGCATCCCTTCCCTTAGGCAGATATTCCTCGAGGCTTTGCCGTAATCTCATAAACCAAACAAAACCAGCAACAAATCTTAAAAAAAAAAAAAAAAAAAAAAATCAAAATTTTAATTTGAACGGTTTGATTTAAAACTATACGATTTGTTTCGAAAATTTAAAAAAAAAAAAAAAAAATTGTGCACAAAGGTAAATATGTGACGAAAAAAGACGATATGATATTTTCGTAACACCTTTTCTAGCAACATTTAGGAATTTAGAATTTTAAAAAAATTATGCGCGCCTCGATGACAAAAAAATAAATAAGAGTTATTTAAAAATAAATTTTACTCACACAGTACGCTGATAAAGCTCCATTTGGCACAGAGAAAGTTAAAAAGGCAGAGCCAAGTTTAAAGCGATATTTGAAGAATTGTGGTAGCACTAAATGATGCGTTGGACAAGCCCAATGACTTTCGTCGTTGTTCTTCTGACGTCAAGAATAATAATAATAATAATAATAATAAAAAAAAAAAAAAAAAAATCAGAATAAAACAAAAGTGGTTTAACAAGTGAAAATGATTCATTTCTTTCCAACGCATTGCCGGAGGAGTTAGAAAATCTTCTGAAGAGAAAAAGAACTGCAGAATTTTGAATGAATGCGGCATGCATATTCACAAAGCCTACAGACAATTTCGCTACGGGCTGCTCTCATTGGAGGAAACATCTGCTTGGCGGTCATATTTGGAATGGCGAGTTATCGCCTTGTAGGCGTGGTAATTAACGCTAAACGAACGGAAACAGCGTTTATTTCATTCAACATTTTTTTTAGTTTATGAATGAAAAGCTTAGAGGAATTGTGTGGAATATATTCTTAATATAACCTACTGATCTTATTAATAGTTTATTTGTATTTGAATTTAAACTTTTAAAACCACGTAATTGTTTTACAAGAAAAAGGTGTTTATATGGAGACAGCATATGCACTTTTTCGTTATTTCACTTAGGAAGAGTCTATTGTGTAAATTTTTCATAGCGCATTAATTTATACAAATAAAGGAATTAAAAAAATAACCAAATGAAAACATTCAGTAAACATTTAAGGGAGTCGGATACCTATTCTTTTTACGAGTAAGTATAACTAAAATTATATTTTATTCCATTATGCGCTATTTCTATTGAAACGCTTTTCGGGATCTTGGTAATCTCGTAATCTTGCTTAATGATACCTACTACAAAGAGTACAAACCAGTAAATAAAAATAAGAAAAATTAACATTAACAAAAATAGAGAAAATAAAGGCGTTTAATTTTTAACACCGTACCCGAAGGCGAAAAGACAAATAATGACAAAGTCATTCAATAAAGTTAAAATAAAAATAAATCCTTATAGAGCAGAGTTTTTAAAAGCTACGAGCGCGGATAGAACCGGCGACCTAGAAGCCTGAGAATTATTCCCGCGCTCGTTACCACTGTGCTGCGGTTTCTCCGGTGGTTTATGCTCACTTTTTGGTACACGACGCTCAAATACAAATTGTATAGGCGATGAACCAAAAGTCGCCAAGCACTAGATTCTATAACCCTACCTCTTTTAACCAATCGGAGCAAACAGCAGCAGAAACGGTCTGTAGGCTTTGTGAATAAGCATGCGGCATGATAAATTTTTATCCGTGTTTATACACTTTCTTCTGGTTACGCAATGAAAAACAACTTGATTTAACACTTTATATGGGCAACATTAAGCTAAACTACAGAATATTGGTAAGAGGCACCGATAAAGAAAGGAAAAGCAGGAAATCTGAAACAAGCATGGATAACGAACATTTCATGGCGATTAGGAAAATATATCGATAAACAATTGATGCACGTTCTAAATACAGTTTACGGGATAAATACTCTGAGTTTTATATTTACAATGTCAAATAGATGGTTTGCGTAAAAATTAAAGAGTAGGTGAAAAATGACTAGCTATCAGAAACCTAGACATACATTTCTGATACTTATTCTGATTCAAAAAAATTATTTCATTATCTCGACCAATAAGAATACAACTGAATACGAAATGAAAATAAAGTAAGGTAATGTAAACTTCATAATTCAAGAATCTTGTTCCATAAACGATAAATTCGTTTATTTAGCGTGTAAACAACTGAAGGCTATCAGATTGATAAAAAAATTACGAAAAGAATATTTAGCATCAGTTATCGGAAAACTAAACGGAATACTCGAAGCAGGTATGTTTTTGGAAACAAATATGTAGCTTGTATTCATTTTAAAATGCTACAGAAATATTCCATCGGACGTAAGATTAAACTTAAATAAATCAAACTGATTTTATTTTTCAGCTCAGTCTCCGTTTTTATGGAGCAGTTTTATCATTATTCAACACAGTCTTATTAAACAGATCCTCTGAAATAGAAACTAAACTGAAAATAAACACAAAAGGGTAGAAATAACATATTGAATTATTAAAGAAATTCCGTCTAAGAGTAATAATGCACGAAATCCAAGCATCTCTTTTTGCTGTAACTACGCTAAAAATTTCAAACCGAATTAGATTATTATGAAATTAATAGAACTGAAGTACTTCATATTCCCTAAGCCAGAGTCAATATTTTGAATTTACAAAGCAAAATCTTTACAAGCGTTTTTCAGTTACTGTTTGAAATACTGCAGACTACAGCTATAAATAATTTCGTCCTTAACTGATGAAAATTGTACTCCAATTCTTTTTAATTTAGTTTTGGTTAAAAATTTTATCAAAGGACGCCCGATGATCACTAATTAATGTGTTAAAAATACATTTAAAATTTGGTCAGACCTTTCTATATTTTCGAATTTTTTTATCACTATTTCTGTTCAGGATAAAATTTGTGCATCTGCTTCACAAAGCAAAAATCACAGAGATGCTACTGAACTTAAATTAGCACACATAAGAAACAATTTGACTTCCGACTTTTTTTAAACAAGTTATTTGTTTATGATAATTGTTTCTTGATTTAGGATAGTTCGATAGTACATAGTTTCCCTTTACAGAAAAACACTACTCTTCATGTTTAAGCCTTTTATCTTATTCGACCCAATCTCCACTAATCGTCCGTTCCTGTTCTTAAAAAAAGGCTTAACATTTTCTTATAGCCCCCTTAAAATTCCCGCTACTTAAAAGAAACGCTATGTTACCATTTCCATCACAAAGATTTTTTTTTTCCCCCTGCTTCAAGTTAATCGCAAAAGGTACATAAAAACTATTAAAAAAAATAAAAATAAGGTATTTACTGGCACTGGTATTTACTGTATGTTTAGTAAAAACAAATTTAATTTTGATTCTGTACTCTTTAAAAAAAAAAAAAAAAAAAAATTATTGTATTAATAGTTTACCTCCTTCAAAGCTGCCAACTTCAGAAAAAAGTTTTTGGTATGAAGCACTTTAAAATAATATCATTATGTGCACTTCTCAAGTGCAAGGACAGCTGAGGGTTTTATACATTAGGTTGTAATACTTTTTTCGGAAACAACCCTCAATTCAAGACAGTAGCACTCCAAAGTTACATCGTAATTTCGTCATTTTCCTGCCCCCATACCGATGACATAAGTCGAGAAAAATATTTCCATAGACACAATGTTAAAAAACAGGGAGGGGTAGCACCAGAAAAAATGATTAAAAAAAAAAGCAAAGCAATCAACGATTAAAATTTAATATAATTGCGTACGATGCAAAAATTATTAATAC